ACAAGTCATGTGTCTTACAAAATTTCATCATGTAATCTTTAGCATCATTTCTATTACCAGGGCCTTATTTTCCAAGGACTGATCCTTTTTTTTTTTTTTCAACCTTTGCATTCCAATCACCAATAATTATCAATACCTCTTGGTTGCATTTTTGATCAATTTCAGACTGAAGAAGTTGTTGTTGGTGGTTGTGTGCCATGGAGTCAGTTCCAACTCTTAGTGACATTGTACAGGTAAATCTTTATGGGAGCAGAAAGTTTAATCTTTCTCCCATGGAATGGCTGGTAGTTTTGAACTGCTGACCTTGAGGTTAACAGCTCGACTCATAACCACTATGCTACCAGAGATCCTCTAAAAAGTTGGTGTAAGTCTTAAGTCCATCATCACTGGCTTTAGTGGTTGGTGTGTAAATTTAAATAATAATTATATCAATTGGTCTTCCTTGTAGGCGAATGGATATTATCCTATAACAGACAGTGTTGTACATCTGGTTAGAACTTGAGATATCTTTATGATGTTGAATGTGATGTCATTTCTCTTCAATTTGTAATTCCTGGCATAGTAAGTTATGTGATTTTTCTATTCAAAATGGCCAATACTAGTCCATTTCAGCTCACTAATGCTTAAGATATTGATGTTTATGTGTTCAATTTCTTTTCTTTTCTATTTCCATTTTACTTTTGACAACTTCCAATTTTCCTAGGTTCTTACTTAGTACATTTCATGTTCTAATTCTTAATGGATGCTTATAGCTGTTTCTCCTCATTTTGAGCTGTGCTCCATCAGTAAATGAAGGTGTCCCAAAAGCTTTACTCCATTCGTGTCATCATGGTCAACTCTACTTTGAGGAGTGCAGTTCAACTTAAGGGACTCATTTTCGGACGCTGTATCTGACAGTATTCTGGTGCTCGTCTCATGTTTCAATGTTCAGTATTTGGGTGCTATCTGACCATGTTTCACTGGTATTCACAAAACTTTCAGTGACTAAATACTCAGAAGTAGTCCAACTCTCCTTCTTCTTACTCTGTCTTCATCTGTAAGCTCATCTGAAACCTGTCCACCATGGTTGACCCTGCTGGTATTTAAAATACTGGTAACATAGCTTCCAGAATCACAACAACACACAAGCCACCACAGTATGACAAACTGACAGACAAGTGGTGGAAGATCATGAATAGAGACAAAATAATTGGACTGTGTATATTGCTTTTTATCATATTTGCTAGCATGTTACTATTGTTGTTATTAAGTACTGTCAGGTGAGTTCTGACTCATAGGGAACCTTTATAGGGTTTCTGAGGAAAAGATGGTGGGTCCGAGCCACCGACTTTGTGCCTAGAAGTCCAGTGCTTATCCTAGTGCCACACCAGGACTCCCATGTTACTATGTTTAAAATCTCTGAGTTTATGACTGTCACTGGGAAGATGAGAGTTACAAGGGTTATTGCTTTGTGATTTATGCTTGGACATTGTGGTGCCTGACTAGTTTTGAAATAATAGGCTGATGTACCTTATTCCATGAACCACCTAGCCTAGGTTACTCCTTTTTAAGAGTCTTTCTCTCCTTGGCATAGAGTCACTGATTTAGTAGTACCACTAAAAATGCATATACCAATATGGAAGAATAACTGGTAACATTGCCAACACTTATATTGTCAATGGACTTGAACGCCTGCTTTAAAGGCTTCCTAGTTACACAGCAACAATGTGGCACTACCGAAACCTGGGTGCTATAGTCAAGTGTGGGGAAGAAATTAGATGGTATTAGGCTAGGAGTCCTGGTGTGGCGCTGCAGGTTAATGTGCTGGACTGCAAGGTTGGTTTGAATCACAAGGTCAGCTCTGAGGTTCAAACTCCTCGGAAATCCTATACAGGGTTTCTCTGAGTCAGAACCAACTGATCCTTCATAGCAACAACAATAACAACAAAGACTATGAAAAGGGTAGTGGCTGAAGCAATCACATATCTGCTTATTTTTGTTCTTGTGGTTCCATGGTTCCCTTGACCTGCAGAAGACATGGTCCTTCTGGTACCACCACATTCCAAGCCTGAGGGAGATTTTCTCCTCCCAAGAACGCCAGCCTCCTTTCACTCCATGTTGTCTGCAGCTGCACACATCTCATTGCTCACTAGGGGAAACCAACTCAGACGCCAAGTGTATTTTCCATAGCAGCAAATGAGATATGTTCCTATTCATTGGCTTAGGAGCCTTCTGTTTGATCTAATTTCTCTATATATATTTTGTTCTTTGTGGCCTCTACCATGACCTGTTTTTCAAGGTAATTTGCAGGTCCCACACTGAAACAAGGCTCAGAAGTTTCAAAATTTAGCTCATAAGTGTAAAGCTTCTGATACTCTAACTCTGGTGTGAGCATCAGAGCTTCAAAGGGGGTGATGGGAGTGGGGCGGGGATAGGTAACTCAGTGTATACAAATTATTAAAATAAAATCCCCAGGCTCAGGAACTGAGCATGCTAGATTCTAACATACAACATTTCAAAAGAGGTTAGCCTTGAAGAACTGGAGCGGGCATCTCCTCTCCTGGGCTAAAGATACATCTTATAGTTGTAGATGTTGTTGTTGTTGTTAAATGTCGACAAGTAGATTCCGACCCATAGCGACCCTGTGTAGGGTTTCCAAGGAGCAGCTGGTGAGCTTGAACCGCTGACCTTGCAGTTCAAATGACTTTGCAGTTTGACACATTAGCCCACAGCACCACACCAGGATGTAACAATGATTGTGAGGTTGATAAAGGAGAGGGTAGTATTTCATTCTGTTGTGCATAGGGTCACTATGAGTCGGTACCAACTGGAATGCACCTAACAACAACAACAACAACAATTAAGCAACCTTTCTTTGTTCCTTTCACAGATCAAAATAACTCTGTCCTTGGAAGTGGAATGGGTAGACACAACTATTAGCTTTTATAAAACATATAAACTCTGTTTAGCCAAATACATTCGAAGTAGACATTTAGGGAGTGCTGAAACTCCGTCTGTTTTCCTGCTATGCATAAGGAGCCCTTGTAGTGTAATGGATTATGAGCTGGGCTGCTAATTCTAAGGTCAGCAGTTCAAATCTACTAGTCACTCAAGAGAAAGATGAAGCTTTCTGCTCCTGTATAGATTTATAGTCTCAGAAACCCAATACAAAGTTGGTATGAGTCAGAACCTACTTGGTGGCACGCTACCACCGTCACCATAGGTGAATAAACTCTTTTTGGTCTTTCCATTTGGTGTGGCTGAATTGGCTTTGTGTTGCACCAATCTTGCATTCAGGTAACATTCTCCTCCTCTCTTACATTCACCCTTGAATAAGAGGACATTGTTTAAATCATTGGGGGACTCTTGGATTTACTGTTCCCACTAAGCTGGAATTTGATGATGTTGTTCTTACTCATAGCAAAGTATAGGGGTTCTAAGGAATGGCTGATGGGTTTGAACTGCAGACCTTGCAGTTAGGAGTCCAGTGTTATACTAAGCACCACACCAGGAATTTGGTGGTAGGATGTATATCCAGATTCCATTAGTCCTGGTGTCTGAGATGGGAGTATGGTGGGTTGGCTTTTATTGATTGAATCATATGGGGCTTTTAACCAAGGTCTGGTGGTAGAAAATATCCCAGGAAGACTTTAAGTCTTTCAACAATTATCACTTTGGATTAGTCTGTCCTTCCTCTTCTTCTCCCTCTTTGTCATCTTTATCATCCTGGTGCTTAGGGAACTGAAAAGAAAAGGCCAGTATGGCTAGATCCAAGAAAGACAAGAAGAGTGGTAGATGACTATGTATCTATCAGCTTCCTGGACATCTCCCTCGGGGTCCCCCATGTGCTTCCCTGCATAGTGTCCACAACTAAAGGCATCATCTTTCTGTAGGAATCAACTTTCTCTCGTGCCCAGTTATACTTGAGCTTCCCAACCTGAGTCATGGATGGGAGCCTCATTTGCTACTTCACAAATCCTCTTCCAATCCTATTTCCAAAACAGGTCTCAAATTCACCCTTTCCTTTTGTGTAACCAGTGTTATTATATCTGTCTAGATTACCATATCTATCTGCAACCTCCCTGCCCACCCTTTGTAGGATATCAGATCAATTACTATGACATTCATATACATCTGAACACTTTCCTGTCCTGTTTAAGGCTTTTAAGATCTATATTGTAAAGTCCGGACTCTGTTCCATGATCCTATCTTCTCAGGCCATGGCTCCTCCCAAATTATGATCCTTCAAATAATGGTGAAGACCCCCAATGCAGAGAAAGAGCAAGTTTATTTGATGAGAATCAGGTATGTAACAATGACTGGTGGACAAGAAGTTTGGGAGGTGTCACAGAGAAAGGGCTGCTCCAATCCAAAATGGTGGCTGTGTCATTGTCAGGACATGCACCAGCCTTCTGTGAGTCCTGGGAAGCTGGGCAGGAAGTAGATTGAGCAGCACGAAGTATTTCTGTTGGTAGAAGACCTCAGTCAGAATGGAGAGTCAAAATCACGAACTTTTATTGGTCTTGGTCCATTAGCAAACCCACTCTCCAGAGAAAGGGGAGGAGGCTGAGACTCTGAGACTCTTATCTCAGCTGCAGGGCAGCCCAGACAGATGACGGATATCCTTGTGCATGCGTTTGGATGAAAGAGTGTGCATGTCTATGTGATCTTGTGTGCCCATGTGTTTGAATGTGTGCATCTGAGGGTCTGTTTGAGTGACCATGAGTTTTTTGTGGACTTTTATGTGTGTGTGTGTCTGTGCGTCTCCATGACCGTGTGTGCTTGACTTTGAAGTTATATAGCTGTGGTTTTCCATCAGCATTTCTGTGCATCTGTGTATGTTTCCACATGGGTATTTGGCTCTCTATTGGGACATCACTATCCCACATTCTCCACTGCCTCCTCCAGAAGAAGGACAGTCAGTCCTACAAATCCCAGGGGGTGGGGGCAGGAATCATCACACCCACACAGAAGTACTCACGAGCTCCACAGATGCCAGGACCCTTTCTGGAAGGCTTAGTTTAGACCTTGAAAACAAATTTCTGATCATGGAGCAGCAAGTCTGGGAAAAATAAAATAGATCAGAGTGATGATCTCAGGGTGAAGGAGTCCAGGAATATCCCATATTCTTGTTGAGACTTGGGGTCAAGGGATGGGAGCTTTGGAGATCCAGCTCAGGCTAGACTGGGAGGGGCAGCTCTTCTATCACCAGTCAGCCAGCTGTTCTCTGTGTCAGATCGGATTGGCAGAGACAGAGTCTACACCTCAAATGTATCTGGGTAACTCAGGGTAATAGCTATCCAAACTGGGGCTAGTTGAAGTCAGAGACATATAGGTACCTGAATAGAAACCATTTTTGGTTTTCAGGAACAAAGCCCCCCAACTTCTTGTTCCTTCAAGGGGAACAAGGGAGCTTGTAAGTGGGTACTTACTGATAATGTCATGCACCAGTGTGACATCCAGGTTGTTGAGAATCTCATTAACCAGAGGGCATACCTAGGACAGAAAGGGGAGTTAGGCAAAGTGGCACTTGTAGGGAGACCCTGGTGATGGCAGCCTTTCCCAGGATGGATTTTGGGGACATATTTTCTATCATTTTTTACCTCTGGAAGTGCTTGAATCTAAGCTATCCCACAGATGAATGCTCACACATCCACACTGGGCACATGGAGAAACTGAAGCCATGAACCACATAACACACCTGGATTCACATCCGCATCTATTACTAAATAGGGTTGGATTTATGGTAATAGGGGATCCCAAGCATAGACTGGGAGACAGCTTGTCTGCAGCCAAAGAATGTCAAACTGGGCATTTTTCGAGGCAGGGCCAATCCATTCCATCTGCAGTGAAGACAAGCACAGGGTCTGGCCCACCACTGAAATGAACCCTTGCATTTTAAATATCAAAAGAAGGAATCTGGACAGATGGATAGATTGAAATTACTTATTAAACTGAAGGGCTCAAACCAGCTCACCTGAGGGATCTCTTTCAGTCCTAAGACCAAAGGATCAGGAGACACCTGCTTTTATCCACTTACCTTTCCCTGCACTAACTCAGGAAGAACATTATTCAAGATCCCCGTGAGGCTGTCGATAGACTGTTGAATGGGGAAGGGAACAGCTCTGAAAGAGAAAGGCCATGGGGTGAGGTTGGCTCCTCAGAAACCTGGGGTTGCTATCGAGAAGGCTTCAGACTAAGTAACTGAAAACTGTAGGTGAACATCAAGAGGGGTTTACCCTAGGGGGGAGTTATACCCTACATTCACACAGTGTTGACTAACCACATAGCTCTACAGACATAAAGTATTAGGTTTTCACAAAAATTTTGTAGAATTCATAAATGAATGAACAGTGTTCAGTACATTGCTGTCATGAGGATTCAACACGTGGAGTATGGTATTTGTATTCGTAATTGTTTGCTGTGATTAGAACGACTATTGAAATTCTGCATGTCTTTATCTCCTTGTGTGAGAGGTGTGTAAGCTAAGACACTTAGCCATGTACTGGAATAAAACACAGTCACACCTATTATAGCAGTGATTCGATCAACAGCTCCACTGTAGCACCATATTATAGATAAGTAAGCTGAGATCCAGAATTGGGAAAGCACTGTCTAGGTGCACACAGGATGCTCCCCTCCTCTTCCAACTTCCTACTATGATGGTGCTTGAACACAAATTTCTTATTGTCTAATCCAGTATGAAATTTGTTGGCTTGGCTTGAGAAGGACAAGTGACTCTTTGCCTATCCTATCCCATTCCATCCATCCATCCATCCATCCATCCATCCATCCATCCATCCATCCATCCATTCATTCATTCTCTCATCCATTTCCCCACAATTACAACCTCCCATTCATCTATCTTCTCATTGTTCCAGCTTTCTAACTCTTCACTGTCCCACCTTGAAGTCTATGCGCAGAAGTTACCCACTCTGGCCTCACCTATTAAGCAGGGAGATTTTCAGGCTGCCAGGGGAGTGGGTGCAGTCTCCAATGACCAGATGGGCCTTCCCCTGCTCATCTTTCACAACTAAGAGTTCTACAGTGATGTTCAGCTTCACATCCAGTCTCAACAGACTTCCGACTATGGTCCTGCAGAGGAGATGGTCTTGCTGGCACCACCATATTCCAAAACAGAGGGGGATTTTTCCTCCCAGGAATGCCAACCTCCTCTCACTCCATCTCATTTCTCACTAGGGGAGACCAAGACTCAAAGAAGCCAAGGAACTTTCCCAGGGTTACTCAGCATAGCAGCAAATAAGTTGAAGTTGGTGGTAGTCTTCAATACCCCCTTTTTGGTAACCCAATGTTATTGGAGTCTCCCTTGATGAACAATCTTCCCATGGCCTGTGGGGACCCACTCACGTCTTCACATTGAGGGCTAGGCCCAGAGGGATGGTAACAAAGAGACGGTGGCCATCAGGACTCTGCACAAAGCCAAGTTGCAGCAGCTGGGGATCGGTGACGGTCACTCTGTCCAGAAAGCAAAATTGGAGGGAGAAAACATCAGCTCCTTGGGCCCCAACCGCAGTAGGGCCAGAAACCACCTTTACCCAACCTCATTCATTTCAAGATGGAATTTCCCATGAGTTGGGGCTGGGGAGATAGGAGTCTTGACACAAAAGAGGTACATGAGTTCTAAATTGCAATTAATCTTCCCAGTCTCAAGCAATGTGTCAGAGCCTCACATATGTATGGACTTCTCCTCATCTAAAGTCTTGAAGGATTCCAAAATAGGGACCATGTTTGGAAAAGACTCTCATCTTGTATGTCCATCTTCCACCCACTACTATCAAGTTGACTCCAACTCATAGTGACCCTATATAGGGTTTCAAAGACAGTAAATCTTTATGGGAGCAGACAGCCTCTTCTTTCTCCCATGGAGCAGCTGGTGGGTAGAGAGGCCCAACTCAGAGTCTTACAAAGAGAGGGGCTATTCCATGCTGGTTGAATTGTGCATTGATGGGAAGCTGTATAGAGAGCTGTGTGGGTGGATGGATGGAAGAGTAAGTGATTAGCTGGAAGGAAAGATGAAGGAATGATGGATGGATTGGTAAGTGGATGATGCACAGGGAGCAGCAGTAAGTTTTGCACAAACATTTATGAGTAGGAATCATTCATCCTGCCATGATTTTCAATGACAGGCTATTGAACTATGCTTATCATGGGAGTTAGGAGTCCTGGCGTGGTGCTGTGGGTTAATGCTCTGGATTGCAAGGTTGGTTTGAACCTCAAGGTTGGCTGTTAGAGCTCACCAGCAGCTCTTTGGAAACCCTATACAGGGTTGCTATGAGTTAGAACCTACTTGATGGCACTTAACAACTACAACAACAACATGGGAGTGAAGGGACAGGAAGTCAGAGAGAATGAAAAAAAAGGATGGAATTGAACTTCTTCTGAGACAGCTGATTTAAGTCTTCTCCAGTCCTCACAACAATCTTTCTCAGTGGTTATAATTTCCATTTTACAGATGAGGAAACAAAACACAGAAAAACTAAGTATTTTGTCCCTAATCACCTGACAAGTAGATGGTACATTAGAGCATCAAATTCAAGTCTATCTACTTCAAGTCAGGTAAGCACCTAGGTTAATAGGGGTCTTGGAAATTGCTTGAATTCAGACCTATCAAGGAACCAGGCTTTATCAATATCAAGCTTTCCCATGATTACATTCTGGGTCTTCCCATGGACTTCACATCATCAGTAAAATTGAGGAAGTCAACTGACACTTTCTTGTAGCATTAAAGACTGCCAAGTGTTTGAAGGGATTCCACCGGTAAAGCCAACAATATTGCTAAGGTATAGAAGGAAGAGCCTGGGCTTTGGGCTTAGGTAGATTTCTTGCTATAAATCACTCTAGTTATGTGAACACAGGCACCTCTTTGGGCCTCAGTTTCCCCATAGACCAAACTGGAAATTATTGTAGTAACCCTTGAAAAGTTGTTATGAAGATTAGAGGTGATGAGAGGACCCCGGATGTACTTCAGGACTGGGGGCAATTTCTGGTACAAGAGGTCAGGTTAGTACGCTGTCAGATTGTGAGGAGGCTCTCAGGACTGAGTTCTGCCCTATATTCAGACTGTCCCTTCCCTCCTTCAGTACTACTGTGTGGGATTGTCAAATCTCCAACAGGGTTCCCTTGTGAGGGCCAAGACCCACTTTTGGGGCAACTCACTCCACGAGGTTGTTCAAAGAAGGGATCAATGAAGTCACTTTCTCAAGCAGGCCCCCAACCAGGCCACCAGAGTTGTCTTTTCCAGCCTTGAGGACGTCCAAGAGTGGAAGGTTTTGGAGAATGCCAAGAAGATCCCCAGAGATCAGACCATTGGTGAGAGCTGGAAATGGATACAAAGATCCCCATGGATCAGATAGGACAATGCCCATCCCCATTCACTCCTGTTCTCACTTCCATCCCATTGGGTAAATGGTTTGGGACACACACACACAATAACACAACATCTGAAAGTTGTCACAGACTCTCACTTACCACTTGTCAAGTGTCCAGCAAGATCTGTGGGAACTGAGGGCAGAGTCTGGTCCAGAGGCAGAGCTGGGTTCAAGGGCAGAGATGGGCCTGGGGGCAGAGCCGGGTCCAGGGGCAGGGGTAAGGGCAGGCCTTCTAGCAGGGCCTTGGTTTGGGCCAGCAGCCCACAGAAGACAATGAGGCCCCCAATATGAAACATCTTCTATCTTGATATCTGTGGAGAAAATGAGGGTACAATGTGACCTGCAAATCAGAAAAATTTACCACTTCCCTGTCCCTGCTCACCTGGGGGCAGGATTTTCATTTGTTTATTCCCCAGAACACCAAGTAGTGAAGAGTAACAGCTAACACCATTGCTTTATAATACTGAGCATTTTCTCTCTATGCCTGGTATCAGGATAAGTCTTTATACTCAGTGACCAATTCATTTTTACCACACCATAGACATTCATTTTTCTCATTGCATAGATGAAGAGAATGAGGTCGAGTGGATTTCAGGAACTTCCCCCAACTCCTCATGTACACAGTGGAATCAGGATTTGAAGTCAGATCTGTCTGACACAGAAAACTTTGTTTAAATGAAGTGACCACGTCAGTGACTGGAATCACCCCCGGAATCGATTCTTCAGACAAAGTACATTTAGAAGCTTAAACATGCTCATGACTCACACTGCTCAAAGGCAGCCTTGATAAGCTCTTTGGTCCCAGATCTAGGCACGGGTGGTCTGTGGAAACCTCACAAATCACAGATACCAGAGTTTTCATGGCTGTAGCCACCATCTTATCCAGGCCAGAGCTGAGGAAACTCTGGAACCATCTAAAGCCTTCATTACTCATGGGGAACCAGAGCACCAGAGAGAAGTAGTGATCTTGGTAAGGTCACACAGCAAATCAGCGGCAGAGCTGTGGTTGGAGGCAGGTTTTCTCATTCTTCCCACACCACACACAAACACAAGCATACACATTACCTTCTCTTTTCCCTCAAGTTGATGAATTTCTGGAGCAAGTTCTGAGGTTTGTCTACATTTTGAACCAGCGCCCTCCCAGATACCACCGATCCTATCAAAGGCTTATTTGGCAACCAAAGGAGTCAAAGGTGTCAAAAGCCAGAGCTGGTACCTATACTTTGGAGCTAACTAGCTGCTTTAGGGAAAATCTCACCAACCAGCTGATGAAGCCAACTCTTTAACAATGTGATTGGTTGGAACTGGAAAGCTTTCTTGACCCCAAAACAAGTAGGGACCTCCCTGAGAAGGTAAATTTGGCTTCCCTGAGAAGGTAAATTTGGCAGTTACAACGATGGAGAAGGCCTTGAATCTCATGAGGCAACAGAAAATCCGGTGAAACTAAGGATCCTAGTCCTGGAAAAATGCATCAAAAATGATCAAAATTGAGTGGATAATTTTAAGAAGTTCATGGATAATCATAATTCTCACTGGTAACCTTAAGTTAGAATGCCTGCCTTAGAGATTTAGATTTAGGGTGTGAAGAACATTCCCCTGAAAGGGTTCTAACCTGGACAATTCAGTAGCTTACAATTGCAGCCACCGAACTGCTTCACCATCAATTAATTTCTCTGCTGCACAACATTTCTCTATTGGTGTTACAGGCCTCTTGTGGAAGTAGAGTAAATGCCTATCTTCCCGAGCCTCAAAAAATGACCAGATCTGCTTTTCTTGAAAGGCCCCAGTGAGTGACCCTAAGTGGTACCTGTCAGTACCTGCCCCAGCAGCCCTGTCACCGAGGGGTGCTGAGGAGGAGAGAAATGGCAGGTCTCACCTGCAATTCTTGCACTGTCCTTGTCTCCTCTTCTCCTGTCTCCTGTCTGCTTCTGCTGAGGAGGCAGCCTCTTTTATAGTTTAGGAATCAGGAAATGTGGGCTCCAATGATGGGTTTCTAGATAGTTCAGAATTCTGAAATCTGCTGAAGTCTTTCAGAGCTCTCCAAAGTAAATAATTGCGAATCACATTAGCAGGTGACAGTTAAGCCATCTGATCGACTAGTTAAACACAGAAAAACTTGAGATGGGGCTATTACTCAAGACTACTTGAGATGGGGCTGTTATATAAGACCTGATAACCAAAAGGTTGGTGGTTACAAGGATGGGGCTGAAGACCCATGCTCCAAGGTGACCTGCAGGATCACATGCGGAATGCTGGACGAGTTAGCCGCTGGAACTCAGGAGGGACCTTTAGTCTTAAATTGAGGCCCTTTTCCATCGTGGTCCAATTCTTTCCTCTGATGGGGACTTGCTCCCAAAGTCTCAAAAAGTGTAAAATTGCATCTGAACTCCATGTAGCTGGGGCAGCTTCCATTCCAGGACTGGGCCTCCCATTTTCTGAGCTCCTTGGAAACCCTATACAGGGTTGCTATGAGTCGGAACCAACTCAACAGCACTTAACAACAATTGCATGAAAGTCATGATCTTCACCACAACCCTGAGAGGGAGAGGTACTGCTTCTTATTTACAGAAGAGGAAACTGAGGCCCAGAGGGACACATGGCTTGCCCAAAGATACAGAGAAGAAGGAGAGTCCAAATTCAACTCATTAGATTGTAATAACAATAAAAGGGCAGTCAGCCCCCCACTTACCGAGCTCTTGCTGTGCACCATGTGTGAGTTTTCACACACAGCGTTCTCATGAACCCTCACAGTATCTTATAGGACAGATTGGGCACTGTCAGTTTACAAGGAGGAAAGTGAGGAAGTTGGAGGGGAAGGTGACATGTTGGGAGTCCCATGGTTGGTGTGAACTGAGACAGTCATGTTCCAGGCCTTTCTCTTATCACTGGGTTGGGAGGTGGAGGCACCTTCCCTATACTTAGTGATCAGTTTGATTTCCCTCATTGATGATTTTCATGTTCTCATGTTCCCAGTCTGAGGGTTCCTGTGTATCCTGCCCTTTCTTGTACCCTCCCCTAATGAAAGATAAGGCATTTATTTGTCTCCACCACTTGGGTCTTTGGAGTCTGTTGTACAGATGAAAAAAAAAAAAGGTTAAGTGAGGTCAGGGTTTGGGACTATTGAGTACAGACCCAGCCTGGCAAAACTGAACACCTTAGAAGCAAAAGAGGAGAGAGAAAGAAATGCACATTTACTGAGCACCTACTATGTACCAGGCGCTTTCCATATTTGACCTCATCCATATCAAGAGTAGTTGGTATTACTGTCCCTATAAGTCAGATAAGGAGCCCAGGTGACTTGGTGGTTAACTACTCAGTTGATAACCAGCAAGTTGGCAGTTTGAACCCACTTGGGGGTTCTAGATTACAGCCTAGAAATTTCTATGGGGCAGTTCTGCTGTCACATGGGATTGCCATGAGTCAGAATTGACTGGATGATACCTAAGAACAACAGTGCTCAAATGAGCAGACCAAACAAAGTCCCGAGAGGACTACTTCCCAAGGAGACACAGTGAGGGAGTGACGGTGGGGCCAGAATTCAGCCTGTGTCTACCTGACTCCCAATGACCACTGAGCGTGCTGCCTTTCCCAGGCCTTGGGCCTACTTCTATTTCCTCTGAGAGCTTTAAAGGGTAGTTGGTAACAACTTTTGTGGGTTGAGTTCGGTCACTTCTATCCTTCTGGAGAAACTGAGGCAGATAAGTAAAGGCATTGATTCAAGTTTATGCAACCAGTTAGTGGACAGGTTGTATCCTCTGGGGTTAATTCAGGTTGCATATATGTTGTGGCAGGAAGAGGATAGGTTTGGGAGCATGCACTCCTGGTTAAATACTGTCTCCCTGGGCAAGTCATTCTGATGTTCTGGACCTCAGTTCTCTCACCAGTACAATGGAGAGGATAAGATCTGCATTGCATGGTTATTGAAGTATAATGTTTGGGAATCTGGTATGAATTTCAGTTCATAAACTCAAGAAATCTATGACATTTTCTTATTTATCTACACATCTCTAAAACCTGTTGCTGTTGAATTGATTGCATTTCATGGCAGCCCTATGTGTTGCAGAGTAGAACTGCTCCTTGGGTTTTAATAGCTGTGATAGTTTTGGAAGCAGTTCACCAGAAATTTCATTCAAGGCATTTTGAAGAGACTTGGACCACCAAGGTTAGCAGCTAAGCACATGAATTGTTTATACCAGTTGTGAAATCAGACAGCCATGAATTCTGTACCTGGCTCACTCTATTTACAGCTGCACAACTTTGGGCAAGCTGCTGCCCTTTTTGGGCCCTGTAACATGGGGTGAATGCCACCCACCTCCTAGGGCTGTGTAGAGGGTTAAATGGAAGGACAAATGTAGCTCTCGGCCCAATATTTGGCACAGAGTCTGTGCTCTGAGATTGGGCATGGCAGCTACAGGGCACAGATTGGTGGGTCAGGACATCATTTGGGACTTCTGTTTAAACTACCTCCTAGCTCAGTATATCATGATAAACTACCCTAGTATATCATGATAGAGGCGTATTGTTCACCAAACCCTCCCAGAAGAAACTGTGGTGAATCCACAGCTCTGTGAACCTTAAATGATATGACAGAATGTAAGAAATCCAAGGAGGGCCTTGAGGAAGTTGCTGACCCATTTCAGGAGGGTTCAGGAGGAAGGAGACAAAAGGTGCCTTCACGGGGAGATCAGGCAGCCCCTAGGGAGACAGGCCAGCCCTCCTGTGTTTGTTCTTTGACTCAGGAGCAGGAAGAACCCCACAATCTCCAGGCTGTCAAGGGGGAGGCACTTGCATGAACACCGGAGTTTAGGGTTGCAAATCCCCAGTGAAGCATTTCGGATTAGGGAGTTTGAATTGAAAGATGGAGACCTGAGGTTCTCTTGCCTTGTTTTCCTCTGAGCTGTTGACACTTCCTTGTTTGAGCTTGTCAATCCAGCTGAACATATATTTCATCATTTTTACTCTTGGTGTATGTGTGTCAGGGGTGGTAGTGGGGATACAGGGAGGGACCCTTGAAAGAAGGGAGGGAAGGCTGGGGGGCTGCATTCACAGAAGTTAAAAGTGCAGGTTCTAGAGTCTGGCTGCCTAAGTCTAGTCTTGACTGACCATTTCCTTGCTCTGTGATCTTGGGCAAGTGACTATCTCTTTGAGCCTCAGTTTCTACATGTGTGAAATGGGATGACAGTTTTATTATGGGGTTTGATGAGCTGCTGAATGCAAGCTCTGAGTACCAAGTTGTCACATGTTGTTGTTGCTGTTGTCAAGTGCCATCAAGTCAGTGCCAATTCATAACAACCCTGTTTAGGGTTTCTAAGGAGTGGCTGGTGAGTTTGAAGCACCGTGGTTCCAGTTGACATTGCAGGAGTGTTTAATACATTGATACAATTATTGTTACTATTACCCCTTGATTTTTCAGTATACTTTCCAAGCCCTCCGATGGAAGAGGGCGGGAATCAATAGTTAATCATCAATAATCAAATAATTCAAAATTAGTTAAATGACAGTTATTAAGAATTCCCCAAGGACCTATCATATGTTAAACATAATTCAGATGTTTTTAAAAAGGTACTTATCACAAACAAGCATCTTGCAAAGTATTTTAAAATTTGTATTAAAATATTTATTTTTAAATGCCAATAAGTGACTAGTTCAATGAATTTTCACAAATTGAACATCCCCCATAACCAGCACCCATCTCAAACAACAGAGCAGCATCAGTGCTCCAGAAGCCAAAACCTCGTAGCTCCCCACCAGTCACTGCGCTCTCCCCAAGGTTAACCACTCTCCTGCTCTCTAACAGCATGGATTAGTTTTGCTTACTCTTGAGCTTCATATGCATAGGAGCTCTGGTAGCGTAATGATTACGAATCGGGCTGTGAACCTTAAGGTCAGCAGTTCGAAACTACCAGCTGCTCCGCGGGAGAAAGATGAGGCGTTCTGCTCCCGTAAAGATTTACAGCCTCGGAAACCCTGTGTACAGGGTTGCTATGAGTCGGAATCGACTCCACGGCACATAACAACAACATACATTACAGGCTCTTTTACATCTGGCTTCTTTCACTCAACATTGTGTTCATGTGACTCGTTCAGATGGTTGTGATTTAGTTTCACTGTTGCTGTTAAGTGCCGTTGAATTGGTTCCAACCCAGAGGGACTTTGTACAGGGTTTCTGAGGAGCGGCTGGTGAACTTGAACCACGGACCTTGTGGTTCAAACCAACTTTGCAGTCCAGCTCATTAACCTACAGCACCGCACCAGGACTCCTTAGTTTCATTACTGTGGAGTATCCTAATGGGTGTCTATACCACAAGCTATTTATCCATTGTCTTTATTTTTTGAATGGGCATTTAGCGTGTTTTTAGTTTGGGGCTGTTATGAATATGAAGGATTCTTGGTGACACAGTAATTCAAGTACTCAGCTGCTAGCCAGAAGATCAGCAGTTTGGGTTCACCAGCTGCTTCACAGGAGAAAGACGTAGCAGTTTGTTTCTGTAAAGATTATAGCCTTGGAAACCCTATGAGGCACTTCTATCCTGTCCTTTAGGATCACTATGAGTCCAAATTCAAAGGGTAGTAGGTTTGCTTTTCAGTTTTGATTACAACTATTGCTGCTGTGAACATTATTGTACACGTCTTTTGGTGCCCATGCACGTGCATTACTGTTGAGTATATACCTAGTTGGAGAATTACTAAGAAATAGGGATCGCATATGTTCAGCATCAGTAGATGCTACCACACTGCTTATAAAGTGTTGGTAAGATTTACCACCTACTAGTCAACACTGGTGCTTCAAGCTCACCAGCTGCTCCTCGGAAACCCTATACAGGTTTGCTATGGGTTGGAACCGACTTGACGGCACTTAACAACAACAACAGTAGCGACTGTATGATAAGCAGTGGACTGCTAACTGCAAGGTCGGCAGTTCAAACCCATCAGCTACTCCATGGGAGAAAGATCAGGCTTTCTACTTGTATAAAGAATTATAGTCTCAGGAAACCTGATATGAGGTCATGATGAGTCAAAATCAATACCATGATACTGAGTTTGTTTTTTAATTTGAGTAGCACATGAAGGCACCTGGGTGACACAGTGGATTAAATGTTGGGCTGCTAACTGAAAGGTCGGCAATTCAAGTCCCCCAGCTGAGGCAGTCTGCCTCGCTACAGATTCACACTCTTGGGAGCCCCATGGAGCAGGTCTTCTCTCCTGCAGGACCCCTATGAGTCAGAGGCAACTCAATGGTGCTGGGTTTGGTTTAGTAGGTAGTATGTAAGGGTTCCTGTAGTTCCACATCCTGTAAAATTTCTATTCTTATTTTGCAGGTGAGGAAGAGTGAGATGTGCTTTGTCTCAAACACAGCTAGTGAGTAATGAGAGCAGGATTCATTCACTTATTAAAACATAAATATTGACTGAGCCAACATTCTGTGTCCAGCCTTGTGCTGGGGGCTAGGGACTCATCGGTCACCATGGACGTGGTCCATACTGTCATGGAACTTCTAGTTGGCTTGAATCTAATTTGAATTCAAATATGTTCAGTGTCAAAGTTTATGCTTGTCCACTCTCATCTTTATCTGCTTTCTCTTGGAGTCCGGGAAAGTGCTTGGCATATAGTTATTGTGTTAAATTCCGATTCATAGTGACCCTGTATAGAGTTTCTGTGGAATGGCTGGTGTATTTGAACTACTGACCTGGTCGTTCAAACTGACCTTGTGTTCCGGTGTTTTATCCCACAGTGCACAACAGGACTCCATTGGCATATAGTAGGTGCTCAGTATAAATGAGTTGAATGGATGAAAGAATGGGAAATCGCAATAGGACCTACCCTGCATTGCTCAGCAAATCCATGTGTGGGCTTCTGTTTGCAAACTATAGACACTGGCTGCTTTCTGTGTTATTTCTGGGCTGATGGGCAAACCCAAGGGTATGTAGTCTCTGGATGGACCCTTTATCTGGTTGGGCTTCTGGAACCTAAGCTTCAGGGATCAAGCAGGGAGACTTCTGTATCCTTCTGAGCTAGAGGGAGTTTATTGGAGGAGAGGACAGGAGGCCCTCAGGCCTGTGATAAAGGTTTTCACAGGTAGCAGAAGTCCCACTATGAAGTAGATGTCAGGTCCTGATCATCAGGTGGCTGGAGGATACTCAGTCTGTAATATGAAGTTGGTTGAATTCATGGTTGGTTGACTTCATGAGGTGCATTCTCGTCTGTGAGAAGAAAGTCCAGTGTCAGTCACTAATGTGTCCATCCCTCTCACTCACAAGTCTACACTGAAGGGAACTCATCCAACCATACTAACCAAGGGACATTGCCAAGAGCACTCACATCCAAATTCTTCCCAAATAATCTTTAACAATCTACTTCTTGTCTCTCTTTCACCAGACTGAACTCCATGAAGGTGGGGACCATAGTGGAAGTAAACTCAGATTTGGGATTGGGCCAATGATTCCTACTGGGTTTGGTGGCGGTCTTGGGACACACTACAATCTCTGCTAACCTGAAGCTTAAGTTTGTTTCAAGGGATCCCCTCTGTTGTCCCAGCTCTCTGGGGGACAGTGCTGGTCACCATAAGTGTTTACTTCTAAAGTGTTTTCAGAGCTCGTGAAAAAACCCCTCAGGCTACGTTGAGAGGCACCTCTTCCAGCCATTGGCCACACCCTCGCAGTCCTTCCCATGTGGACACAAACTTTCACCCATGAGGCTTTTCAACAGTTTCACATCCAGTTGCCGAAGGATTTCTTCCATCAGAGGACATACCTGGCACACCCACACAGAAAGGAAAGGTCAGGCCAGGAGCTGGGAAAAGAAAACTGGGGTACTTGTGGCTGCAAGCTTTGACTTAACTACATTTCCAAAAGGAATAAGGCAAGAATGGTTTCCTTCTATTGAGTGCCAATTACATACTAGATGCCATGCATTGTCTCCCTGATCCCATGACAATCCTGTGAGATAGAGACTGGGATCATTCCCATGCTACAGGTGGGGAAACTGAGTCTCAAGGAAGCTAAGTCACTTGCCTAAGAAGACACAGCCAATAGATAGCAGAACTATCAGTTTAATTGAGATTCTTGAACTTCCAAAGCCCAAGATTCTAAATTCTTTGCTAACTTCCCTGACTCTCAAACACAAGGATGCCCAAGGGAAAAATAATTTTTTCCAAAGTTACCTGGTTTGCTGCCAGGTGTGGAGTCACTTTTTCCAGGTTCTCTCTGAGTTTTTTGAGAAAATATTTCGTCTTTACTGGGATATCCCTAGAAAGAGAAGTGGGAGTACAGAACAGATACATTCCAGACATACTGTGTGTTGAGTGCACCTTACAGAGTTATTTTATTCTCAGCCAAATCCATCTGCAGGGTGATGTAACTTGTTCAAGGTCACAGAATTAGTAAGTGTTGACTGAATTGGAACCATGTCTATAGAATACCAGAGGCCACACATTGTCATCTCCACTATCCACCCCATGAATGCCACAGAGGAGTTTCAGAGAGTGAAGAGAGGGAATCAAGGCATTCGATGAATGTCTGATGAGTAAATGGATGGGCATTCACTGAGGACTTAATTGCAAATCAGGCACAAACTTAGCCATTGAGGGATTCACAGTCTGACAGACTTGGTCAGTCAATTTACAGATCTTCACTACATTCTAGTTTTTCTGTCTTGTTCACCATTGCATGCCTAGAATCCAGCATAGTGCCTGGCACATAATAGGAGCTCGATAAATGGTTGATGATGAGGAGTTTTAGAGAAGAAGGGAAGGCACTCTAGGCAAAGAGATTAGCACTTGCAAAGGCATGGTGATGTGAAATGCAGGATGTGTTGATGGATAAGTGGGTCCTTCCGAGACCATGGAGGCAAAGGACTGCAGCTTGAGGAAGGAAGAGGACAAATAGGACCTTGCGTGACATTTGTGAGTTTGTGCTTCATCCTGAAGGCATTGGGGACCCTTGGAGGGTTTAGACCAGGATCTGGGACTTGACCAGATTTCTGTGTTAGAAGGTTACTTCTGCAACAGGGTGGAGAATGGTAAGAGATCTAAGTCAGAGAAGCTCTAGAGGAGTCTGCTACAATTGTCCAGGCAGCTGACTGAGCCAGGGCATTGGCTGCTGGAATGGAAAGAAAGGAACAATGAAGGACTACTAGGAAGTGGGTTTTGGAAAGGGAGCAAGAGGAAGTGTCTGGCTGTTGATGGAATGGTAGGGTCATCACTGGGATGGAGATGTGGGAGGAGCAGCAGATCTAGGGGAAAGGAAGAAATCTGTTTGGACTTATGCAGGAGATGGTGGGGAACTGAGGCTATGGTGAGGGCTGCCAGGAAGGGGGCCCAGAGTGCTAAGTGGCAGCTGGGGACTTACTCAGTTAGGACTATCACGTTGATGCTTCTGGGTTCCACAAAGCAATTGCCCATCACCAGATATCTCCGACCAAACTCATCTTTCTCCAGCCAGAATTCCACAGAGATGTTCATGCATAAGTGCAGGTCTAGGATCCTGTTATTGAAGGGCCTGGGGAAGAGAGAGCAGAGGAGGAAGAGAGGGAGGGAAAAGGGAGGAGACAAAGAAAAAATAGAAGGGTGTGGAAGCAGCCAGCAAGAAAAATGTCTCTCCCATGTTTGCAAAGAGGGCCACTGTTGGTTTCAAGGGCTTCCCCTTGCTCTCTGAGCTCTTTCAACGAACTTGAGGATTGCCCGTTGTTAAGGCCTCAAGTCAGAGATTAAAAAGAAAACTGGGATTAGTCAGAGGGGACTTTACAAATTAAAAAGTTGAGAATTAATCTCTATTTTCAAAATCTTTACCATTTAGCAATGGCCTCTCTTTCTTTGGGCAAAAGATAGTTTGAACAAGAGGAAGGAAGAGTGATGAAGCAATTAATCACTAACTAGCCGCTCCGCGGGAGAAAGATGAGGCTTTCTACTCCCGTAAAGATTTACACCCTCGGAAACCCTGTACAGGGTCGCTATGGGTCGGACCCGACTCTACGGCACTTAACAACAACAACAACAACCATTAATAAAGGAGCTCTGGTAGTATAATGGTTACGAATCAGGCTGTGAACCAAAAGATCAGCATTTCGAAACTACCAGCTGTTCCGCAGGAGAAAGCTGAGGCTTTCTGCTCCCGTAAAGATTTATAGCCTCGGAAACCCTGTACAGGGTCCCTATGAGTCGGATCCGACTCCACGGCACATAACAACAACCACAACCACCATTAATAGGGAGTTCTGGTGTAGAGCTGTAGGATAAGCACTGGACTGCAAGATCTGTTTGAACCACAAGATCAGCAGTTTGAACTCACCAGCCACTCCTTGGAAACCCTATACAGGGTAACTATGAATCGGAACCGACTTGATAGCACTTAACAACAACAACAGTCTTTAATGGAGTCCTGGTGTTGTGTTATAGGATAAGCACTGGACTGCTAACTGTAAGATCGATGGTCCAAACCCACCAGCCATTCCTTGGAAACCCTATTCAGGGTTGTCATGAGTTGGAGCTAATTCAATGGCACTTAACAACAACAACAAAAATAACTAATGAGGTTCTCTCTTTTTTAAAATTAAGCTCAGCAAAGTGAAGTCAGATAAATTTAAATGAGCAAGTGACCTCCCTCTACTATCTAATGATCTCCATCAAGATTTCAGCTGAAGAAACCAAGACTCAGGTGAAGTGACTTGCTCAAGGTCACACAATAATTTGAGTATAAGAAGCCAAAATGAATCCAAGTTGAGTTCAGAAAGTTCAGAGATCCAAGGTTGTCCAACTTCCTCCCATCTCCTGGGTTCCCAGTCTAGAGAAGCAGTGCCCAAAGTCTCTGCTTTTGTGGGACTCACAGTCTAAATCTGACGTCAAATTCAAGTGAGATATTTGTTGAGAACCACTCCGTATGGAAAGACACTTGGATCCTGCCACAGTCCAGCTGAATGTTGGTGATGTTGATGCTACAAGAAAGAGCAGAGGTCCTGCATCAGGACCCTCCAGCAGGCAAGGCCACTTGCTGAGAAGCAAATTGGCTTGTCTGCAAAGAATACCTAATGACGGGAACTGGACTCAACTTATCTCATAGATGCTCTGAGAACAAGTTACCAGCAGGAACCCTGGGCTGCAGTTCTGCATAATTCATAGTCAGCTGCTGATGAGCTAGGGACCCAGACCCAGGACCTGTTCACAGACAGAACCTTTCATCTCAGGAGATGGCCACCATCCACCTAGACCAGGCCAAACCCACGACCATCTTTGATTTCTCTCCATCCCTCCCCACTATCCAACCCATCAGCAGATTGTGTTGGCTCTGCCTGTAAAATATATCCCCAGTTTTATTACTTTCCATTACCTCCTTCTCTGGGACCTGATCCCAGTGACCATCACATCTAACTGATGATGTGGCAGCACTGGGCTCCCTGTTGCCATCTTGGCCTCTCTACAGACTATTCACCACATAGCAGCCAGCAGGGTCCTAATACTTGCCTAACACTCAAAATTCTCTACTGGTTTCTCCGTACTCTTGGAATAAAATTTGATTCCTTTATCATAGTCCCTAAGGCCTGGCAGGATCTGGTATAGCTACACCTCCTAAAATCCTTGCCACTTCTGCCCCAGAGCCTTTGCACTTACTGCTCCCTCAGCCCAGCATGCTCGCTCCTCTACTCTCCAAGCCAGTTATTCCCTTTACATTTCTACATAAGGGTCACCTCAAAAAAAAGATCAGCCCAGCACTCTAATTGTTCACCTTGTTAAATTTGTCTCTGTAACATGTCTCTCTACCTGAACTATGACAGGACTTCAAAAAGTTCATTGAAAACTGGAATCAAAAGAGAATATAATTTTTCCATGAACTTCTTGAAGCTCCTTCATAGCGGGCTTTTTTTTTTTTTTTTAAATTAGCATAGCACCTGCATAAAGATACGTCATGGGAAGAGGAGGGAGCAGTTGGCAAACAAATATAGATGCCAAGTATAACTTGTGTTAAACATGGTGTTTACTTATCTTTTTAAAAGTTTTTTATAGTGGATTGAGCGAAAGTTTACAGGGCTGATCATCAGTTTTACATTCAACAAATCATACACCTTGTTTCATTACAATGATTATAATCCCCTCCATGTACCATCAGTTAACAGTATATCTCTCTATTCATTTTAGCTCTTTTTTTTCTTTTAAACACTCAGGCATATATAATAATTTACACCACCAAAGGGCACCTTCTGCAAGTCTGCCTCCTGACTGCCATCTCTTAGTCCTTCTTTTCCCATGAATCTAGAGTCCCCAGCTGTTCCCTCTCTCCACGTCCCCATCTCTGCCTCCATCTTTGGTGTCACTGCTTCTCTGGATAAAGTCTTGCATTCCACTTGTGCTCTTCTCCCTTGATGGTCCTGGGGTCCTTTGTTTCTGGACTGTGAGATTAACCACTCCCCATTCTTATCACAAAATTTCTACCTTTACAATTGTGGCAGTCACAATTAGTTATGATAACAATTACTATTGAATCATAAGAATCTTATCACCAACTCATTAACCAGACCCATCTAGACAAGATAAAAACTATTCAGTGGGTACTCTTTCTCCCCGTCACACTATTAAGCTAAACAACCCCTTGAAACTTTGTAAGCCAGTCACTTTGTGCCTTCATCACCCACTCATTTTAGGTAGCCAATGTCTAAGTTGCCCATCCCTATCTACCCTGTATACAGAGGAGATAACATTGATATTTGATGTGAAGACACCTTCCCTCTCTGTTGGTATTTAGAGTTACTACCTCCATGAGTATAGATCAAGTTCATCAAATTACAGCAATTTACCCTTGTTCTCTTTATCAAAAATTGTTTTTTTCTTTCTTTCTTTTTAAATCTTCCTCTAGTTCTGATTATCAAGCCATAGAGGCTAGGTTAAATGGGTACTATCTGCAAGTTTGGGTGTTCTTGTGCATCTCTCCTCACTTCATATCAGCTGGATGCTTCATTCTCAGCTCTAGCCCTCTGGGGCAATGTCCTTGTCCATAGGTTCAGGGGTCCCCAGGTCTCACCACACTTTGGAGCAACCAGCAATTCCTCTTCTCTCTTTCATCGCCAGGTGAACAGGAGTTTGTGGAATGTGGTTGATTGAACTCAGCCCATTTCTTCATTTCTGCCTTTCCGCCTCTTCCACTCACCAGTAGACCAACATGGGCACCAGCAAGTTTACATACCTGCTCATGTGTTCCCTTTGAGTTTCAGCCTTAGAGGTGGGTTTGTACTAAAGGAATGGTATTTACGTGTCTATCTCACTAACTCAATTGCAAGGTCCAGAAAGGCAGGAAGTGGGTCTTGTTCAAAGCTTTGTTCCTAATACAAGCCCAGATCCTGGTACACAGTGGGTGCTAAAGGAATTAGTGTAACAATGGTTAAAAGACTGAATGCACACTTTATATAGATCAGTCCTGCTGGTGGCTAGTAGGACTAATTCAGATTAGATAGATGGGAACTCAAGCACATAGCAAGCTAGAATAATAATGTTGTAGTTTACTGTCTTTGATACCTGGGAAGCTGAGGAACCCGACCTCAGTCTAATTGAAGTAAGTGAAACTAGCCTACTTCTCTGAGATTAATCATAGCTGTCAATCATCATTAGGCACCAACCAAGTCTCTGCCTGGATTCCTGGTGTGGCGCTGTAGGATCAGCACTAGACTGTGAACCACAAGGTCAGTAGTTCAAACCCACCAGCTGATCTTCTGAAAGGGTCGCTATGAGTTGGAATTGACTCAGTGGCACTTAACAACAACAAGTCTCTGGGTGGCACAAATGGTTAACATGGTTGACTCTTAAGTGAAAGGTTGGAGGTTCAAAGCTACCCAGAGGTGCCTTGTAAGAAAGATCTGGTAATCTACATCTGAAAAAATTTCCATTGAAAATCCTACAGCACACTACTCTACTTTGACAGATGTGGGGTTGCCATGTAGGAGTTTATTCAACAGCAACTGGCTTTGGCTTTTATATACACCTGAGAAGTTACATGCAGTGTCCTTAATTCTCAGAACAACTTTCAGAGGTAGGTATAATTATTATACCCATTAAAGCTCAGAAAGCTCAAATACTTTACCCATAGCCACACAGCTACCAAGCAATAGTGTGAAGATTTGAATGCTGGACCCCTGTCCTGGCTTGCTCAGCACCCCATATGTTGATTCAGGTTCTGCTCTGGGTACCCATTTTATAGGTGAGACCAAAGTGGTGAAGCAAATACCCAAAGTTGGTGGCAGAGCCAGGATTTAAACCCAGATACTCATAGCCATTTGAACTGCAAGGTCAGCGGTTCAAACTCACCAGCTGCTCCTCAGAATCCCTATACAGGGTCGCTATGAGTCGGAACCAACTCGACAGCACTTTACTTCAGTCATAGTCTCGAGTCTTCATTTTCAATCTCCCTGCTATGCTGTCTCCCCAGAGGACCCCCTGGAGTCTCTTTGGGTGTCCCAGGCATCCTTGTGTTGACACGTCCATTCTGTCTCCTTTCAATAGTCTGCTCTGCTGTTTAAGCTTGCACTGCTCCTGTTCCTCAGGCTCTGCCCTCTGACCCAGAGGCCTATAAAGCACCCCAGGATCACAGTGGGGTTCCAAGTCTCACCTGTTTTCCTGCGGCTGCTGGGGGCTTGTGTCACCGATTAGCCAGCCCACCATTCCTGGGGGCCCGAATCTCGAGACATTCAGACTTCTCAGAAGTTGGAGGCTCTGGAGTCTGTTCTCGGCATTGTGCCTCACGAGGCCCTGGGCAATAACTGAAAATGAACAGGCAATCAGTGATGTTGCACAGGTTTGTGGTAAAAGTGGCATTCAGTGACAGGAGGCCTGGTTTGCAGGCTGTGCACTTCTTCTTAGCTGTGGGATGGTAGCTTGTCACTCCCTTCATTTCCTCATCTGTGAAAATTATACTCTGCAGGGTTGAGAAATCAATAATACCACTCCAGCAGAGACACTGGCAGACAATTGCTGCTCAGAAGGCAACATCATAGTTGTAAGTTCATCTGGTGTGTGTCTGTGGGAGTGGAGGTGAGGAACACAGGGGAAGTAATATAAACTCAAACAAAAGAGGGGTCTTGCCATGACTGATGATAATAATACAGTATGAGTTGGTGTATGAGGAACTCGACCTCAACTTTCCAGATGTGTTTGAGGTCTGAGGAAAAAGGAAGAAGCGAGAATGAATGAGGTCACACAGCAAGGCAGTATTGGGGCCTATATGGTAGGTACCTTCCATCCCCACCCCGAGGGCAGCAGGCAAAGCAGGGGGCTCAGCTTACTTCTTGCCAGGGTGGACCTGCTCTCTGTATGGGCCTTGGCCAGGGCAGGCCAGGGCTGCTTGGGCAGGCCTGCATGCAAGGCCAGCAGGCCAAGGAGAATGAGGAGCTTCCAGAATGGGTGCATCTTGGGTACCAGGACCTGCAGGTATCAGGAAGTGTCATCTAGGGCCCAGGAAGATGGCTGAAGGGTTGGCTGCTTAGATGGAAGGGCTCATGGTCTTCTGCAGGAAATGGCATCAGAGTTAGTCCCCAGCATGTGGTGGGGAGATGTTGTTACAGACTCTGGAAGCTGCCCCCAGGGCCTGCTACATGGTAAGTGGCTGGGATTCCATAGGGAGGCTTTGTTGCTTGGAGACGCCTAGCAGTGTCCACTGTTGGGTCATCCAGCAGTAGTCCTGCCCCAGATGCTGGACACTGATAACACTTCAGTAAATGAACGAATGAGGATGACCAACTCCAGGTTCTCAAATTAGACTAGGACTTTCTTAAGGACAAGATCATCCTCTATGCCTACCACAATGCTTGCTTGCCAGAATGAAGTGCTGATGAATGCTTGTTGAGTGATTAAATGAGCCTAGAGGACTGATCTCTGAATCTTCCACCAAATTGTGAGTTTCTTAAGGGCAAGGTATAAATTTAATTAATCCTCATCGATATGGAACCTAACATAATTCATGTCAATACCCTGGTTACCGACAAATGCTCAAGAAATCCAATCTGTGCTCATTGTAGTGAGAGCGAGGTTTTCTTTATTTGATTTTGCAAAATTGGGCATCCAACCCAGTAGACATGGGCAGATGTACCACATGGCTGACTCACAAAGAATTTTATTCCCCTGTTTTCCCTCCCCAGTTAGCATGCGGCTCACAATCAAGCCCTGATGGTGCCCATGGCCTTAGGGGCTATATTCTTGCTTAAAGTTCCTAGTCCTAGAGCAGATTTCTTTTCCCCCTCCTCCAATTCTTCCTGCTCACATACCCCTGGGTGTGAACCAACAACCTATGTCTGGTCTAGCAATCTCGTGTGCCCTTTATTCCTGAAGATGGACCATCTTGAGAATTTCTCACAGTATGAATGCCAACCTCATGTGAGTCAGAGTAGCACTGTGCTCCATAAGGGTTTCAGTGTCTGAGTTTTCAGAAGTGGATTACCAGGCCATTCTTCTGAGGTACCTCTGGGTGGACTTAGGCCTCTCAGTTAGCAACAATATGCATTAACTCTTTGTGTCACCAAGCACTCCCACTTGCTGCATTGTAGTTACTAATGAATGTTGTTGCTACTGGTGTTAAGTGCTGTGAAGTGGTGTTAAGTTCTGACTCAGTGACCCTGTATAGGGTTTCCAAGGAGTAGTTGGTGGGTTTGAACCATCAATACTATGGTTAGCAGTCAGTGTTTACCCTACAGTGCCACACCAGGACTCCTAATGAATGTTAAGTGATTAAAACGCATAATTGAATGTTTGAATGGATTCTGGATAAGATTTACAAGAAGGGGGCCTCTGCCCTCTAAAAGATGAAAGCCAAAAGCATTAGGTCTACTTTGGAGCCTTGGGGCTGAGGTCCGAGAATTCAGTTCAAATACCCTAATTTTTGCCACCTCAAAAATGGACATCACCATCTATCCAGTTGCCCTAGCCTGGCACTTGAGGTCGCCCTTGACTCCTCATTTCTTATCTCCCACAAATCCTGTCATCATATCCAGAATCTGACTATTTTCACTGTTTAGAGAAACAACCTGTTGTCCTTGCCTCTTCAGACAACATAGGTTGGCGGGGCTGTCCTGCTTTCGGGGAAAGAGATCCCAAATTAAAGCATATTTTATAGAAAGGCCTTTAAACCTTAGCAGGGCAAAGATGAAATCATCTGGATGAAGAAGACCATTAGTGTGAGGCCATATGATGTCCAAACAAATCATGTGGTTAATTATAAACCATAGAAGGCAAAGGAAATCACCAAGAAATCATGATTGCTGGCAGATCAATTCATCCTCGTGATTGAGATAGGTACACAAATGCAGATTAGAAAAATTTACAAAAGATTGGTCCCGGGGCCCTTTAACCACCTGACTACTTGATGGTCCAGGTATGACTCATGATCCTGTGGCCCTTGCACCTCAACTGTAAATCATTAAGGACATGCCCAGGCAAGTGTCCCTGCTGTCTAAGGGAGCTGTGGTCTACTTTCAAACATGCTCTGCTTGAAGACAAAGTTATTCACAGCACTAAGTAATTGTCAGGAGCTCTGGTAGTACAGTGGTTACAAGTCAGTCTGATAACCTAAAGGCTAGTAGTCCAAAACTATCAGCCCTTTCTGGGGAGAAAGATGAGGTTTTCTGTTTCCTGGAAACCCTATGCAGAGTTGCTATGAGTTAGAACTGACTCCATGGCACACGACCACAGTTATTGGTCAGCATGAACTCAAATGGAGGTTGAATTTATGCCAAGACTCAAAATGAGTTTAGAGCCTTCCACTGTTGAATTTGTGACAAGACTCAAAATGCACAGAGAGCCTCCCACTGTAAACTGCGTAGTGGTTATAAGTCTGGCTGCTAATCTTAAGGTCAGCAGTTTGAAACCACCGACTGTCCCACAGGAGAAAGATGAGGCTTTCTGCTCCCATAAAAATTTACAGCCTCGGAAACCCTATGCAGGTTGCTATAAGTCAGACCCCACATCATGACCACCACTGTAAACCGCAGACTTCCACAATTTAGTGCTTTACGATTTAAGCTCTAATATAGTCCTGGCCTGTAGTTTTCAGGCCTGTGGCACCTAAAGCTATAACCACATGTATCCACATGTCTGGGTAGACTTTCCAAGCTTGATACCTGATAAGAGGGGACAGGAGGGCAGTGCTGGGGTAAGCTCTGGATATGGAGCCAGTTTGAATCATGTGGTGGTTACGAATCACACAGACCAGGGTTCAGTTCAAGTCCAAATCAGTTTCCAGATCTGTCCAAGGAGACTAGTAAGGGTGCAGACCTCAGACTGTAGTGAGGCATAAGGGAATCCGACAGGTCAGTCCTCAAAACGTCTGCTCTTATTGTCATCATCCTCATCTCCCTGAGCCTGGGCTTCCTCCTCGGTACACCAGGGAAGCTGGTGGAGGAAATGACACAAATAGGGCAGTTATGATTCAGTAAGCACATAATACAGAAAAGAGCCACCTCTGTTGAGCACCTTCAGTATGACAGCAGGACAATTTTAGCAACTGAAACAAAATAAAGCAAATAGCAATTAGTATTCTGTTGATTTTGGCTCAAAGTGACCTTATCTTTGTCATAGTGTGAGAAACAGCTCTTGGGGTGCTCCATCTTCAGGACTAAACAAAACAAAAAGTACAGGGGAGAGGAAGAGATTAGTTTGACTGACTAGAAATTTTAAAGTAAGAATACACCAAACAAGGAAATAGGGGATATTCGTGGGGGGCGGGGAGGGGGAGGGAGTAACTTTAAATGAGAATGCTCCCAGTTAGGCAACATTTGTTCTGGGCAGATTGTAAACTCCATAGAACCCAGTAACAGGGGGACTGAAGGAGGGACTTTTTAGAGACAGGGGAACAAAACTGTTTGTAAGCCGGCCAT